TGGGGCTTGAACTCTGGACCTGGGCTGTCTCTCAGCTCTTCAGTGCAAGGCTAGTGCTCTATCACTTGAGCCACAGCGCCACTTCCCGTTTTTTCTGCTTATGTGTTGCTGAGGTATCAAACCCAGGGCCTCATGCATGCAAGGCAAGCACTCTACCACTGAGCCACCTTCCTAGCCCTTGCTAGCCCACTTTAAGCCACAGTTCTACTACATCTGGTTTTCTGGTAGTTAATTGGAGGCAAGAGTCTCATGGACTTTCCTGCCCGGATTGGCTTTGAACCACGATCCTCAGATCTCAGCTTCCTTTGTAGCTAGGAGTACAGGCGTGAGCCACTGGCACCCGGCTCTTTCCCACTTTTGACTGAGTGGTATCCACTGACCCTGAGCTTAGTCCTGACCCCGCAGAGCTCTCTGGTGACCTGGCAGGCTGACCTGGGGTTCATCACTCAGATGTCCTTTGCAGATTTGGGAGGACCTGTCTTGAAGCGCTCCTGTCTTCACATTCACCCTGTCCAGGGCTTTGAACCCACCTGCCTATGCAGACCACCCACACACTCTAGACATACAGTGGCTGGATGTTCACTAAGGTGGGAGGATCTAAACCTCAGGGAGCGCTCCTCCCCCCTCCCTCCCATTTGCAAAAGTGATGTTGCTTGACCAGAGCTCAGACCCGGACCCCAGAGTACAAGGCCTAGGAGCCAGGAGCCCCCTTCCAGCCCCCACTAACCAGCACATGGACACCAAGAGCTCACATGTAGTAAAAAGACTTTATTAAGAAGGCTTTAAGTCAAAAAATAAAACTCTTGATACAATTTTTTTAACCCTTAAATCAGCTCAGCAAATATATAATCAGTAATTTAGCTGTGTAAGATTAAAGGTCCATTACTTTATTTAAAATAAAATATATTTTAGTTCTTAAAATTTATTCCATAAAGTACATATTTCCCTAGAAATTCCCTACATATACACAAGAGGTAAAAAGTAAAAATAATTTAAAAAAACTTTAAAAATTTTTTTTAAAAAATGACAACAAAAACACAGCAGGAAAGGGAATCATAATTAAAAAAAAAAAAAAGGTAAGAAATTTGTTTGGGACGCCCCTGCTCCCGCCCCCCACCCCCTACCTGGCCGCCAGAGGCTGCCGTGGGGAACTGCTGGCCCCCAGAAGGGGTCACAACACCACCCCTCTCTCTGGAAGAGTCCGTGCGGCCCAAGACCGGCCGGGAAAACACTGAAATTCAAAACGGCTACCTACGTACAAAAGGAGGACGAGGAAGGAGAGTGGTAAAAATCATGTTTTTTTGTTTTGTTTTGTTTAAGATTGCCCTGGGGAGGGGGGGGGGTGTCTTAAATAAAAAGTGCAAGCAGGCCTTTTCTCTCCGCTTACTTTAACCTGTCCACTCAATACTGTCATTCATCCGGCCCCGAGGGGCTGTCGCTGGGCCGCGGGCCGGCCGTCTCCACGCCTGGCACAGGAGTTAAAGCTGATGCGGACTCTCGTGGCCCCGCCCCGCCCCGCCCGCCCCACCCGCGCTACGAAAAGATATGAATGGCCTGGGTGGCCGGCGTGCGGCAGGCCGGACACTCGGGCTCGCTCTTGCCGCAGATGCGGACGGCGCAGTCCATGCAGAAGAGGTTGTGGCCGCAGGGCACCAGCGCGGCCATGGCCTCGCCCTCCGCGCACACCACGCACTCGCGCGCCAGGGCCACGGCGGGG